GCCGACAGGGAAAAAGATGTTGCCGAGGAGCTGGCCCTCGGCAACAATGAGGGTCGGCCCTTGATGGTAGGGGTGGAAGGGGGGGGTCTCTACTGACCCTGGTGGCAGCAGCTCCCACCACATTTTTATACAGGGAGTCAGGGAGCTTTAAACAGCTGGGATGCTATAAAACACATTTATATAATATATCTATTTTTGTGGGAGTCAGTAACATGTATTTTATTGTTCTGCAGATGATGGGGATAACGTGGTGTTGCTGCCCCCCCCACATCACCAACGTCATACAGAGGTAACGTAACCTTTGGTATGTCACCAAATGGTCGCTGAATATGGATAAAATAGACCATTTACATTTCTTCTTTTTTTCAGGAGGGCCTAGCCCTAGATGATCAGACGATGTCTGTCTGCTCAAAGAGAGCTCTGGCGGTACACTTTAGTATTTTGTTACCAATGATATGAAGTTTTCAATTTGCCCGAACACAGATAGAGTGTGTGGACACGTTGCTTTAATTGATTATTTCTGATAACTTGCACATGGTGGTGGTCTGCACATGGGACAAATAACTACTCTCTATTGAAAAGATATTTGCTTTGCTCAATTTGCAGGAAGAAGGAACTCTTCCTCTCCCGCAGCCTGGGCCCTCAACGTCGAGGCCATCACGACGAGTAATTAATTAAACTACATTTTTTAAAGTATAGTCAAGTTTAAAATTGTCAGCTTTCTTGCTGTGAGCCATGCTTGAATGTTAAAGCAACATATATGTGTTTCAGGCTGAAGAAGACACAGTGAGGGCCCTATATAAAAGGACGCTTATACTCGACATAGAGTTAAAGGGCCTAGAAATAAAAAAAATCAAGCTTGAGTTGGAAAGATTGGAGAGAAAAACTGGTAATTTTGTAACATTCAGTAATTTATTTTCAAGTCAAATGAAAGGTGCATAGTGGGTGACCTTTAAATATTTTAGGATACCTAAAAGAGAAATCCCTTTTACTTTGCAGAAAAAGTCAACCAAAATTATGTTTTTTTCTCTTTTTCCTTCAGGAATGGGTGAATAAATAAAAGACTAAAGACTCCAACAAAAATCTCTGTGTTCTTTTTTTTTAGCAAATAATAAAGCGATAGCTTCTCTGACAGCCCTGCCAGTAGGGTAGTCCAGGGTGATGGGGTCTACCACATCAGGAGGTTGGGGGTTTGCAGGAGGGGCCCTCTCCTTCCTCATTGTGGCAATGTTATGCAGCACAACACATGCCGTTATGATGCGGCAAGCTCTTTCAGGGGCCACTCTGAGCCCCCGCAGGCAGGTGAATCGGGCCTTCAGTATTCCAAAAGTCATTTCAATCCTGACCCTGGTTTTGGCATGGGCCACATTAAAACTGGTTTCTGGCCCTTCATCAGGGTCAGGATACGGGGTCATCAAGAATGGCTGGCAGGCATAACCCCTGTCCCCGAGCAGCACTCCACTGAAGAGCCCTGAAGATAAAGGAACATTTCCATAATAAGTACCACAAAAGGCAGTTTAAGCACAAAACAATAAGAATGTACAGTTGCCATACCCTGCTCGAGTTTGTGACACAGTGAAGACTCGCGGGCTTTGATTCAAATAATCGAGTCATGGACTGACCTATAAAACTATAAATGAACCAAAAATAAACAACTTTCAATATTTTTTTTTATATTGGATATGGTATGTTATTGGTTATGGCCATGTTCTTATGATTATTTAAATGTGAACAGTTCCGTTTCATATGTGTGTTTCCATAGATCTAGTGGCTTTATTTTCCCCTCAAAATGCACCAGATTGATGCATTTAACTCCAAAATGCCCCCGGACCCCCCTAGAGGATTTGAGGTCCAGCCCCACTTAAAATATGTTCACATGGATAGGTTCCCAGATACATTTGTACATTTTTTTTAAATAGTAACCCATGTCATATGTATATTATTGGGTAGTAGATTTAAACTATAGGGCTATCACTATGGGCAGCAACGCTGTAAATATTCAAAAATAAATCCAGCAAAATGGCACAAAAAAAAACTGGTAGTGGCCAGGCTGGGTGTATAATTCCCGGCCTGACTGATTGTCCCAGTCCGGCCCTGGCGCAAAGCAATACATACAGTATGCGGCACTGTAAGTGCACAACTCCAACGTGTGGCATTAGCAATATATGGCTCCAGGAGCTGACACAGATAAGTCAGCCCTTCTGACGAGAACCTGTATCTTTTATACAAATACTCTTCAGAGAAAGCCAAAGGGTTTAGTCTGTCCCTAAAGATCCTCTCCCGCCTGAGAGCGCCTCTCAAACAGAAGGTACAGGAACTTAATTAATGGTTTACAGGAAGAACTATCTTCACTGTGAATGTTTTAGTTAAATATGTGTATTTGATACTATCTGTTGAAAAATACAGAATAACATAAACTAAACACATTTTTGGAAGGTAAAAATATTCTTGGCTTTTGATGTTTTGTCGTCTATAAGTGTCACGAGGAGAGGTGATATTAGGATTAGCTTCTGTACTGACTGACAAGGTCAGTACAGTAATCTGATGTAATATTGGCCAGCACTACAGTTTTTAATGAAAAATAGACAGCCAACACTAACATGACCCCATCCTTTCCACTAATGTGGGAATAACTCAATGAGGGCCACATTTAGAAATGGCTAAATGGCTTGGGACTTCTACACAAGTTTACTTTACTCTGTAATGCATTTATATGTACCAATATTTTCACATATCATTTGTCTGTGTTTATTATATCTTACTTTTTTCAAACCAATATTTAGACTGATGAAATGCATGTTTTAGACCATTTAGTAGTTAGGTTAGGGTAAGAGTAGTTTAGTTTTTAGGGTTTTTGGTTAGTGTGAGGTATGTGTTTGGCCTGTAATGTTTCTGTACAAAAAGGTGATGCTGGGTTATAAAGGGTGGGTCATGCAGCAGAGCAGACCTCAAACTGCACCCACATTCCCTAAATAATGCATCATTGTAAGCATTAATATAAATAATAATGTTTGATTTACATATGCAGTTAACTACAACAGCTAAGGGGCCTTGTTATAACATGGATGCAAAATAGTGCCGATAGTGGGAACCAGAGCGAAGGCCACAGGGCCGTGGCGTGTCCCGGTCATCAGGGCAGGCAGTAGATTGACAGCGTGTCCCTCATCGATGCTGGCCCTTAATATCAGCAAACTGCTGCCATGGGAAGATCCCACACAGAGGCCTGGAGATTAGATGCCACCAGATTCTATAAATACGTCCACAAATATGTTCATTTTTCCTTACACAAAAAAAAAGAAGATAAAGTAGCTGTGTGAAACTTACCATATGTTTTAATTAGAATAATGATCATTGCCTTCATCATTGCCGTTAAAATGGTATGTCATAACATGAATGCTGTTTAATCAGTAAAAAGGACAACATTTTTACCAAAAACTGTAGATTACAGGGAATTTAAAAGTGTCTGCAGCTCATGAAGTAACTGAAAATGCACTTGTTCAGCTCATGCTGCTAAATGTTTCCACCATCAAGATAAAAGGAAATGATTGAACATTGGAAAGCTTTTTATTTCATTCAGCTGCTATAATTATTCATAAATTGTCCTTGATGTTGCTTCCCTCTATTTTACTCATATGTCATTCTGTAATCGGACACACTTAAGGGTGTGTGGTAAACATAACAAATGTTGAGTAGTGAGGTTATTATAGTTGAGGGACAGAAAGCAATTAAAAATGACAGTCTCCTCAGAATAAAAGCAATGCTTTCAAAGTACGGGCTAATCTCTGTATAAGGCACGCGCAAATCAGTAAAACATGAACATATGAAAGAGCTGAATGACCTCCGAAATATAAGTTCAAAAGTTGAAATACTGACAACTACATAGAGTACAAAAATGAAAGGTCAATTTTTAAATGAACAAGATTCATACACTACTATCATCCAGTTTAAAGGGGACCTATCATGCAAAATGCACTTTTGTACGTCTTTTATACATGAATATGTGTCCCCGGTGTTCCAGGGAACTCACCAAGTGTCAGAAAACACAACCCTCTCTATTTTCCTCCATACCCAAATCTCTAAAAAAGGGGCTGCAACGGATCTGATAAAAACTGATCCAGATTTGAACACTGTCCTGACGTCAGGACGGTGGCGCTACGGCTATTGGGCCAACTCCACCAATCAGGAGGAGACAACCACGGCATTGCCGTTCGAAAGCGCTGGAGACGCTGTAGTACATATGCCAGGCCTCTAGATGGTGCTGTTGCTCACAGAATCAACCCTTGCAAGAACAGAGCTAACATTTTTCAAATTGAGCGAAATGAGGCATGGCTAAAATGCATGATCTGTTTGGTATTTTGAAAAAAAAAAAGTATAAATATGCCTTATATAGGTATGGTCCTACACTATATTATTCAAATATAGCATGATAGGTCCACTTTAAGGCTTAATATATATAAAGATTTGGTTGCATAAAGCAAATAGGTCTGAGCTTTGTACAATTTACATGTGTGGCTTCTAACACGTTTAACTAAGCCTAAGCAGCTGAAGGTGTGATGTGAATAAAGTATGTAAGGCTTTTACAGGGACAGTCGAGGATACAGACAACACATAAACATCATCGTCTTTAATAATAAGACTTGAAACGTGTTAACTCTAATGTCATGACTACAGTGTGATTGAATAATTTAATAGGCATTAATAAATGAAAACATATTGACAATCCTATAGCTTATTGGGCAGGTATGTAATGAGTGTTGTAAATGACCTTTAAGGATAGAGTAATCGGTATCTGATGAGGGTCCACTCACCAACATGACAAATACTAACATAAAATACACATTCTGGTACTCTCTTGAGAAGAAAAATAAATAAATCTATTACTACACGACATATTTAAAAAAATGAATGCCATATTAGTTTTTTGTTACTTTGTTCTGAAAGCTGAACCTGCTGCTCCTCACAGAGAGAAGAGGGAAGAGGCTGTGTGGATAGGGTGGATAGCCCCCATTGTTCTGTGTGTCAAAATGAAAGACAGCCCACACACCTATCAATCATCAAACCGTGGGGTCTTATTTCATTACGTGTTGATTTCTATGAACATGTAATGTTGTATCGATGTATAGAGATGTACTACCGCAAAAGTATTCTCCGTCGGGACTTCCTGCAACGCCGTTATCGTGATTCTGATTGGCCAGAAGACATTATCAAAGATGTTCTATTGAGAAGACGATCACTACGTGACAAAAGTTTTCAAAACCGTTTCTAGTCTTCGGTATTCTTGTTTTTGGCGTGAGAATAGTTTGGGCAGCGTGAGAGCGTGAGATTGAGAGTGAAAGCGTGTGTCACACGCCAGATGCGTGAGCGTTGGCAACCCTGTGTTTGGACCATTTAACATTGAGTTACGTCGACATTGTGTTTTATGGCGAGTTTGTGTTTCCATGGCAACAGCCCTACTATGAGATGATCAGATTTGACGTAGAGCTGTTCAGGGCCGGAGCGTTATGCTGTGTTCACACCGGACGCGATGCGAATATTCGCTTCGCTCTAATCGCTCCTATCGCATCGCTCTAAACCAGGGGTCGGCAACCTTTTTGATATGAAGTGCCATTTAAAAAAAAAAAAATTATCAGCGTGCCAACGATCGAGAATTATCAACGGGGGGGGGGGGGGGGGGGGGGGGGGGGTGTTGAGGATGTTGAGGAGCTTGACGCTCGTGATCTATCAACAGGAGGGCGGGGGGGCCTCGCTGCGGGGAAGCAGTGTGTGGACCTGTCAGCGCAACTTACATGATACCGAATTTAACAAACACATTTAAATAATTGGTTTAAACGGCATAATAATAAGGACGATCGTCCGTTCTGTGATTCTCCAGAACACACATGTTATGATATTAGGGTCATGCAGAGTGAGATGAGATCGCTGTCCCTTTAAGAGAGAGAGAGAGGGGTGTGGCGTGTGCGTGTGAGTACGTTTCTGGAAGTGAAACGAGGCAGCAGAAAAACAGAGGTCTGTGATGTATTTTGTGAAACAGAAGAACAGCTAAATAAATGCAACGGCCTCTCAAGAAGAGCTCGCCTCTCTCCAGTCATTTAAGCTAAAGTGGGTTATTGAACCTGAAGCTCGTTGCTTCTGCCCTCCTCGACTAGGGTCTGGGAGCCGACAGGAAAGTTCAACACACAGATGGCCAGTCCGCCCCTTTGTAGCATATTATTTCAATGAGAGATGAGCAGATCGCCACTGGGCTTTCAACTAAAGACACACACAGCCACGCAAAAACTGCGACATTTGTAAAGCTCCTTATGGGTACTGCAATTTGTGAAGTGCTTTCTTCCGTGGTGAAACGATCAGCACTGCACCACGGAGGAAAGCGGCAGAAAGTCACCTGGAGTTAAAGAGAGCGGGGCTGCGTTGCGTGCATGGCTTCCTTCTGCAGGTAACGGGGAGACGCGCTCTGGCGGCGGTCTCGTTCAGGATCCGAAAATACAATTTAAATATTTTGCACTTATTCGACTTATTCCTAGTGTGCCACTGGCTACGGTGCCGCGTGCCAATGCTGGCACGCGTGCCAGGGGTTGCCGACCCCTGCTCTAAACGCTCGAGTTTCACCGCGGCTGCCAGCTGTGTTTACTCGCATCATTCAAACAAGACGCGCTGGCTCGGGAGCTACAACTACAACAACATGAACATATTTTACCGTGATTAAATTGTAATACACGTTTCTAAATGATGCCGAAGTAACAACATACTGATACCGGTTAGTAAAAACCATGAATTAATGCTTGACAAGTCTGCAGACAAGACGGCAGGCAAAACACCTTTTAAAATGCTTGTTTTCTGAATGAAGATCGGGTCGACCAGGCTAAGCTAACGTTGTATATGCTCATTCCACACTCATAACAACGGCCTACAGACATAAATAAACCAGCGACTGTATTCGCCATGACACAGACAGTCTGTGGTTTGTACTTGTTTAACTTTTGTCCAGTTTCTGAACAGATATGAGGAGCTGTGTGCTAACTGCTAACAGCTAACGGCTGATGTTTTCTGGTTGAACGTCAGTGACGGCAGGCTGAGATCCTCACCGCTGATTGGCTTCCGCGAGAACGCGTCATGTGAATTTGACGCTCGAGTTGAAAAAATTGAACTCGAGCGTTTGACGCGGCACCGTTTAATCGCCTCAATCGCGTGATTCGCGCCGCGTCCACCGCTTAATGCTCGCCGTCGGAGCAAATTCGCGTCTGCCCGCGTCTCTGCATTGACTTTACATGTAATCGCGCCGCCCCCAAACATCGCATCCCGTCCGGTGTGAACTATTAACTATCATGTGACGTTTGGTGCCGTACTTTTGACTTGTGACAACATTGTATTTTATGGCGAGTTTGTGTTTCCATGGCAACACCATACAACCAAACTATTTCAGTGACATCACGTATGACATCTCTGGAATGACATCCTCACATACTAGAGTGATGACATCATAGTTCGCCTTGATCTCCTATGACGGAACTCTCATCAAGGCCATTGATGATGTCATGATGATGTCACTGGATAGGGAAGGCAGATAGCAAGGACTCTCATCTGAATTCATTCTTCACTCCAGCGGTAAGTGGTAAGACGCATTCAGACAACCTTTACAGTCTTCTAGACAGAACACTTCTTCCAAAGAAAAATAGATTATTTTACCTACGCACAACACAAGTCTACAGACTGTGCCATGGATAGAAGAAGCACCCAGAACAACAGGGGAAACCCCAGACCATTTAACCATGCAGCTGAAGCTGATCGAGCTTACAGGCAGATCCACTGCAGAAATGGCCAGATACACAACCTTAATGAGGGTCGCGGTGCCTTTGAGGAGGAGAGGGTGAGATTCTTCCACAGCATGCGCATAGAAAAAGACAGGGTCAAACATCTTGAGGAGCTCGTGCGTTCCAGGGACTCAGGGTTTCACCAAGAGCATAAAAGGCAATTTGACACCATCAAAGCGCGTGAGGCAGAAATCTCTCGTCTGTATGAGAATATGAAAGCTGCAGAAAGCCAACACAAGCAGCAGCTGGACCAAATTGTTGCAAGGTATGAGGCAGAGAAAATTGAGCTCTCCGACCAGAGCAACCAGGTGACAACTGACAGCCAGAACAATGATGGTCCTCTGCAGTTGGACGCAAAGACCACACAACTGCTGATGAGAAAAGGGGATGAACTCTTCGACTGTGTGACAGTCTTGGAGGATAAAAACAGCGCTCTGGAGGAGAAGATGGAAGCTGCAGAGCGTCAACACAAGCAGCAGCTGGACGAGAAGGTGGCATGGTATGAGGCACAGCAACAGAAGCTCTCAGACCAGAACGACGAGACCAACCTGGTGACCTTAAACCTGCTGCAGAGAAGAGAGGAAGAACTCCTTCAGTGCGAGGAAAGGTTCACCAAGAACCTGGACGAAAAAAATCACACCTGGGAGAGTGAGAAGCAACAGATGGAGACAACAATAAAAGAGGTGACTCAGGAAAAGAACGACCTGGCCAAGGAAAACCAGAGCCGGGAGACTGAGTTCAAACAGGTGGAGGCTAAATTAAAGCGCATGGAGAAGGAGAAAGATCACCAGGCCGAGAAAAACCTGAGCTGGGAGACGGATGTCAAACAGCTGAAAGACGAGATGAGAGAGCATGAGGAGATGTTCTCCAAAGACCTGGCCCAGAACCAAGAGAGCTGGGAAACCAAGGTTAATTTGGTGGAGACCAAATTAAAGGAGGTGACTCAGGAGAAGGACGACCTGGCTCAGAAACACCAAAGCAGGGAGAGTGATTTGAAAGAGGTTCAGGCAAAGTTAAAAATGGTTGAGGATGAGAAAAAGGACTCGGCCAAGAAGAACCAGAGCTGGGAGTTAGATGTCAAACTGAAGGAGAGGCAAGTCAAGCAGTTGAAGAACGATTTGGATGAGCAGAAGAAGATGTTCTCCAAAGACCTGGCCCAGAACCAAGAGAGCTGGGAAACCAAGGTTAATTTGGTGGAGACCAAATTAAAGGAGGTGACTCAGGAGAAGGACGACCTGGCTCAGAAACACCAGAGCAGGGAGAGCGATTTGAAAGAGGTTCAGGCAAAGTTAAAAATGGTTGAGGATGAGAAAAAGGACTCGGCCAAGAAGAACCAGAGCTGGGAGTTAGATGTCAAACTGAAGGAGAGGCAAGTCAAGCAGTTGAAGAACGATTTGGATGAGCAGAAGAAGATGTTCTCCAAAGACCTGGCCCAGAACCAAGAGAGCTGGGAAACCAAGGTTAATTTGGTGGAGACCAAATTAAAGGAGGTGACTCAGGAGAAGGACGACCTGGCTCAGAAACACCAGAGCAGGGAGAGCGATTTGAAAGAGGTTCAGGCAAAGTTAAAAATGGTTGAGGATGAGAAAAAGGACTCGGCCAAGAAGAACCAGAGCTGGGAGTTAGATGTCAAACTGAAGGAGAGGCAAGTCAAGCAGTTGAAGAACGATTTGGATGAGCAGAAGAAGATGTTCTCCAAAGACCTGGCCCAGAACCAAGAGAGCTGGGAAACCAAGGTTAATTTGGTGGAGACCAAATTAAAGGAGGTGACTCAGGAGAAGGACGACCTGGCTCAGAAACACCAGAGCAGGGAGAGCGATTTGAAAGAGGTTCAGGCAAAGTTAAAAATGGTTGAGGATGAGAAAAAGGACTCGGCCAAGAAGAACCAGAGCTGGGAGTTAGATGTCAAACTGAAGGAGAGGCAAGTCAAGCAGTTGAAGAACGATTTGGATGAGCAGAAGAAGATGTTCTCCAAAGACCTGGCCCAGAACCAAGAGAGCTGGGAAACCAAGGTTAATTTGGTGGAGACCAAATTAAAGGAGGTGACTCAGGAGAAGGACGACCTGGCTCAGAAACACCAGAGCAGGGAGAGCGATTTGAAAGAGGTTCAGGCAAAGTTAAAAATGGTTGAGGATGAGAAAAAGGACTCGGCCAAGAAGAACCAGAGCTGGGAGTTAGATGTCAAACTGAAGGAGAGGCAAGTCAAGCAGTTGAAGAACGATTTGGATGAGCAGAAGAAGATGTTCTCCAAAGACCTGGCCCAGAACCAAGAGAGCTGGGAAACCAAGGTTAATTTGGTGGAGACCAAATTAAAGGAGGTGACTCAGGAGAAGGATGACCTGGCTCAGAAACACCAGAGCAGGGAGAGCGATTTGAAAGAGGTTCAGGCAAAGTTAAAAATGGTTGAGGATGAGAAAAAGGACTCGGCCAAGAAGAACCAGAGCTGGGAGTTATATGTCAAACTGAAGGAGAGGCAAGTCAAGCAGTTGAAGAACGATTTGGATGAGCAGAAGAAGATGTTCTCCAAAGACCTGGCCCAGAACCAAGAGAGCTGGGAAACCAAGGTTAATTTGGTGGAGACCAAATTAAAGGAGGTGACTCAGGAGAAGGACGACCTGGCCAAGAAACACCAGAGCATGGAGACGGAAGTCAAACTGTTGGAGACAAAAGTCAAACAGTTGGAGGAGGAAATTAATGAGCAGAAGGAGATGTTCTCCAAAGACCTGGCCCAGAAACACCACAGCTGGGAGACCAAGGTTAATTTGACGGAGACACAACTGAAACAGGTAGAGGAGCAGAGGGACAAGCTGGCTCAGAAATGTCTGACTTGGGCAACGACTGAGAAAAAGATGGAGGAGGAAAAGAAACTTGTGGAAGACCTCTGTCTTCACATGAAGCACAAGAGGAGAGGTTTCTTCTCTCGCAGGATTGAGACTGAGGATAGAGATGTCGTCTTGCAGAAAATGCTAAGCAAGATGCAAGAGAAGGAGATGAGGAAGAAATCAAAGAGGGGGGAACCTGAGGCGAGAAACTCCTCCTCAGAGGAGACGGAGAAGGCTGCTGGTGATTCAGCTCCTGCTGGACAACAGTAACTCCCTCCCTCCAGCCCCTACTTCCCTCCTCCATTTCCCCTCACCTCCTTCCTCCTACCTCACCCCCCTCCTCCTACCTCCCTTCACTTTTTGCTCAGATAAGGTTTTCTCCTGGTATCAGGTTTTCCTGCAATCCATATTCATAGTTGAATAAGGATTAAATAAAACATCAACACTAAGTCCCTCCTCTATTTAACCCCTATAATGTATTATTATTGTTATTTACCTCACCTCCTTCCTCCCCCCTCTCCCTCCCTCACCTCACTCCCCCTATAATGTATTATTATTGTTATTTACCTCACCTCCTTCATCCCCCCTCTCCCTCCCTCACCTCACTCCCATATAATGTATTATTATTGTTATTTACCTCACCTCCTTCCTCCCCCCTCACTCCACCCCAAACTCCATAATACAATTAGGATTAAAATGACTTGATTTAAAAATAAAATACAAAATCAAATCTAATTTGTTTAAGTGTGTGCCTCACTGTGTAAACATATACAGTATACATTCTTAACTGTATCACATTTTGGTTTCTAAAGTACTTCTATGTATTGTATGTTTATTTAATCAACACTTTCATAAATAAAACAACCCATGGTATGAAATGGAAAATTGTGTTTTTATATTTGTCTCACTGTACACGTTCAATTCCATTATATATATTTATAATCTGTTCATTTCATACAAGCTGGTCAAAGGGGACATTACTACTCCAAATGTTGAGGTGAAGAGCAGAAAATGTAATTTTCTTGACAGAAACATGGTGTCACTCACCTCAGAGTATAATAACAAGAGAACATTGATATATGCCTTAGCTGATGTGCTTTTAATTCAACGACAATAAAAATGCATAATTATTATCTGCAAAACGTTGGTGAAATCCTACCTTTATTCACAAATAACCCTCTCTGTAAAATCCTAAATTGTAGGATAGTTTGGCCATTAAAATGCTATTTGATTAGATTTCTACCAGTTTCAACCCAGTCTCACGGCATTTCGTGTTATTAGTCACGAAATTAATTTAATCTATTGATTCGTGTTCACCAACACGATTTTCACATTTTTTTCGTGTCACACAGAACGATTTTAAATGCAATGTATTTCTATTGGTAGTATGTTTCGTGCCTGCAACACGTCTTTTTGTCCGGTCGGGTCTTGGAAGACCAGAAGCTGTGTGGTTCATAAAAACATGTTCTTACTCAATATCTTACCCTAAGCCTAACCCTATCCCTTTTATTTTAAATTGTATAATGTCTGAGTTTTTTTGCCGTCAGTGAGGAAAAGAAATGGCTCAGAGCCTCAGAATACTGACATCTGTATTTTATGTCATCTTTTTTTCCTTCTAATTTGTTATTATTTGGTGCAGGCACGAAACATACTACCAATATAAATACATTGCTTCTAAAATCGTTCTGTGTCAGAATACTTAAATCTGTATTTTTTTAAATGTCTTTTTCCTTCTAATTTGTTATTATTTACATTGCTTTTAAAATCGTTCTGTGTGACACGAAAAAAATGGCGAAATCGTGTTGGTGAACACGAATCAATAGATTAATTTCGTGACTATAACACGAAATGCCGTGAGACTGTGTTGGAATATGTGTCCCCGGTGTTCCAGGGAACTCACCAAGTGTCAGAAAACACAACCCTCTCTATTTTCCTCCATACCCAAATCTCTAAAAAAGGGGCTGCAACAGATCTGATAAAAACTGATCCAGATTTGAACACTGTCCTGACGTCAGGACAGTGGCGCTACGGCTATTGGGCCAACTCCACCAATCAGGAAGAGACAGCCACGGCCATTGCCGTTCGAAAGCGCTGGAGACGCTGTAGTACATATGCCAGGCCTGTAGGTGGTGCTGTTCTCACAGAATCAGCCCTTGCTAAAACAGAGCTAAACAAGTGCAAATTGAGCGAAATGAGGCATGGCTAAAATGCATGATCTGTTTGGTATTTTGAAAAAAAAAAAGTATAAATATGCCTTATATAGGTATGGTCCTACACTATATTATTATAATATAGCATGATAGGTCCACTTTAACCTATCCTAAGGGAGTGCTTGTTCTTCCGTCTGTCTGTCTGTGTCTGTGTATTCTCATGTTCCGATTAACCCAGCCAAATTGTTCTTGTTTTGTGTCTATATCTACGCCGGGATCCGGAGTCGAGGCTGATCCTCTTGCTGTGGTCCTGTGCCCTGGATCCTCTATCCTGAGTTCTGGATTAAGTCGTGGACTTCGGGTCGTGGCTGAGCCTGTCTCTGCGGTCCTGCCTGGGTCTCGTCATGCTGCTTCCCTGATGGCTCCCACAGGATTGTTGTTGACATCTTCGTGGATTCATCTTCTTATTATAGTCACATGCATTTCCTAACATTCGGTCTACCTACGCTGTAAAATGTATTATCTCTTCGATTTACACACGGCATCTATTGCACTTCTGTCCATCCTGGGAGAGGGATCCCTCCTCTGTTGCTCTCCCCGAGGTTTCTCCCATTTTTCCCTTTGAAATGTGGGTTTTTCTCTGGAAGTTTTTCCTTGTACGATGTGAGGGTCTAAGGACAGAGGGTGTCGTTTTTCTCATACTGATATTCAGAACAAACTGTGCTGTTGTATTTGCTGTAAAGTGTCTTTACTGTAGGGTATTTTTATTATATGTACAGCACTTTGGCTCGACCTTTTTTTATCTTGTGAGATACAGGAAGTATACTTTATTAAGAAATACTTTATTAATCCCACTTGGGGTCATTTAATGTATCGCTTTGTTGTTATTTCCATTACACACACGCGCGCATGCACCCAAACAAACACACATACTACGCACACATGCACGCACACACATAGAAAATAAACATAGCATCAGTTATATCGAGATTTTGTGTGATGGGTCGTGCCACATACTCCAAGTAGTTAGGGGTTCAGAGATTTCTCAAGGGCATCTCGACCACCTCCCCGTTCCCAAGCCAAGTCCTTGCAGACTGAGCTACAGCATGACCTTCTCAATAACACTTCCTCTTTAGACCTCTAAAACGTACTCAAATAATCTCTCTTTGGCTGACTTTCAACCGTAGCCCATAGCATTTCTTTGCAGATGATGGTTTGCAAGAAGAGAAAACCAGAAGGGATGAAAAGCTGTTATCATAATAATGACAGGGGACACATTTGAAGGAATGATGACGGGGGTGTTGGGTTGGGCTCTGTCAGATGGACTCCACAGATACAGATGGGTAGATAACTCAGTCTCTCTAAATGATGATATTTCTGCAGTACCTTCACATTTACAGGTTTAAATAAAACCTTCAATTACTTTTTTTAACATTTTGCAATGTCACTTTTATGAGACAATTATGAATAGGCTGCAGACGTTTTAAAGTAATTTATTTCTTTACATATAAATTACTTTATTATTATTTCAACATGATCTTTCAAATGATAACAAAGGTGTGCTGAGATGAATCAATTGAATAGGACGCTTCCCGGGCAATTCAACTTTTGTTCCACCAGGCGTCAGTATTTCTCCCTCTAAGTAAAACCGCTGCTCTCCGATCTGTTCAATCACATGCTGGGAAGGTTTGAAGTTGCTGCTTCTTGTCACACATGCGGACCAACAGGGTTGATGGCACAAGGGCACAGAAGTGACACCGAGGCGAGCAGAGTGACGGGGAGACGACCGGAGCTGATCCACGGCGGCTGGGAGAAGTCCACACAGGGGGAGAAAGAGGAGGAGAAGCGCGCGTGGAAAGGATGAAGATGAAAACCACGGGAGGCAAAAGTCTCCCAACACTGGCGTCTCCGATATCCAATCTTTAGGAGAGTTGAATTTGGACCGGTTGAGAAACTTCTGCCACGGTGTACAATGTTTATGAATGAGTCTCAACTGAACAGCTCCTCGCGAGACCCTGACTCCGTCCTGGACCGGCCACCGTGGGTTACAACTACTTTGGGGTGCTTTCTCATCTTCACCATCGTTGTTGACATCCTGGGCAACCTCTTGGTCATCTTCTCCGTGTATCGCAACAAGAAGCTGAGGAACGCAGGTGAGTCAAGGTCAGGGGGGAAGTGTGCGCGTGCGGATACCGAGTGGCCACGCGTGAGTACACTGAGCTGCGTTAAAAACAAAACAAAAAGTCTGTCACAATTTGTGAAGTGACGAGAGTCCCGTTTAGGTGGAGAAATATGCTAAACTTTATAGTTTTAATAACCAAAAAGCGTTTCAGACAAGTTGTTTGTTAGGCGCTGTGTTATTGGAGATGAGGAATTGTAAACGGATGTCCATTTTTGTTTTCATTCATCACAAATCCGAGCCACCGTGAAGATGCGTGTGCTAGCGATATAATGCAACCTTGTCAACAACATCACTCACAGAGGGAGGTTATTGTCTTTTTTATTTTATTTCCATCTGTTCTATCACTTTAATAGTACTACATATATTTATTAATGTGCTCTGAAATATACTAATCACGGTGCAGTATGGCTGATTGTTACGGACAGTTAAAAGTGACATTGTCCTAGTTTTAGCCTACATTTGAGGCAGACATAATGTCACTGACCTACACCCAGTTTGCGGGAAGCTAAGCAGGCTCATATGGGGGAAGCGAAGAGAAACATTATAGCGATTATTGACACAATCTGAAACCACGGGGAAAGCCCCACGCTCATCCCTGCTCTGCTTCTATGAATGCTTCCCGGGGCTTACCCACTATCGATGTTACTCCAGCCAGCCAGGAGATTTAATTTAATAATGATAATGAAACGGAATTGTTCAATGTATTACTAGGTCAATGATTAAACGAGTGCCTTGTGTGTGTGTTAACGCACAACACTTCACTGTGGATGTAATTAAGATATGGGTTTTGGATTAAATTGTATGCCCCCCAGTTCGCTCAGTGAAAGTGGTAACACGCTCATAATGAAACAGTCAGAGGGCAGTGAGCTGCTGGGAAAACCCAAGAGGCTCCTGTCATGGTCAGGTATTTACAGCTGACTGACTGATTCACATAACATGTCTGTCATCATTTGGAGGCTGTAGTAGGGTGATTTGCTAAATACACTCCTGACATTAACATTTGGCTCTGCATTGTTAAGGTCAGAAGAGATTTCCATCATGCGGAGCCAGTGGGGAATATTACAAGCATATGATTGCCTCTTACTGATATTTAAAAAAGCTCCCATTGCTTTACAATTTTCATTATTGATAAAACACACATGCAACTCTGCAATAGTCGCCCTGGATGTATAGGTATTTTTAATGGAGCTGCTCACAAAATACTAGCCAAGCATGTTTAAATAGTGAGTCTCTGGAATTAAACATGCCTGTGTGATTGACATGGTAATGCATGATAAATAAAACAAATTAAACAACATATGGGACACAAGGAGAGATATAGAAAACGTAATCTACATCTTAGACGTAAGGAAGTTATAACACAGCAGAAGCAGGTGTTTAATGAATCTTGTAAAGTTTTACTAATCACTATTTATTTAATAAGCCTATTAAATGTAATTTTTTCCATGGCGGATTCAGAAAAGTTCCACATTTGAGGATCAAAAGGAGGTGATGAAAATACTTTACTCACTTTAATCGTATTTCCAAAAACGATCCTAGAATTCTAACAAATGCTATGCAGCCTGATGACGTCGTGCCTCAAGTTCATGCCTTTGAACTCATTTGCTACTTTCTGTTTCTGAAGTCATGCCTAACTTAAGGCTCTTAGAATTTTCTGTTCAACAAGACATTGGCAAATTGTATGCAAGTTGGCAGACATATTGATTGATATCAAAACTTTCCGTTCATCACTATTGGAATGTTTTGATGGTGATCGGGCAGGTACTGTTTGCTTTAGTTGCCCTTGTATGTGGGAATTTGATGCCACACCTGATTGTTTGACACACAGCCATACATTGGACTGATCACCAATATTTACTTTCAGGAGCCAGTTTATTGCAATATTTTCTGTCCACAATGGATTCAATTACCCATATTTGAATAATCTCCTCCATGAAAATACTAGTGGGCAGATATGTTCTTGGCATGAACTAAACGTTTTAGAAATTGCACAGCAGTCAAACAACAAGGGGATAATTAAAAAAAGCGAGTAAGGAAATAAACTCAGTGGAGAACCTGGCAAACGTTGTGATGACATATTGCCGACGGCAGCAGCACCGCTTTCTATGCATGGCCAAAGCTTTCAAAAATGTGTAAAAAAAATGGCCAGCAAGCAAGTGAGCATGAAGCCAACAACACATGGTGAGGTGTTTGTGCTGCATGGCTGGGTACAAAAATCAGCACTGTAGCTCAACTCAATGCCAACAAAAACTAATTAAATGTAGCTGTTTTTTTGTAGATAGCATTTATTTTAAATTCATGCCAAGGAAAAATGAAAGATTCCAACAAGGAATGGACTCTCTTATTTATAAAGCTCAAAAGTTATCTCAGGGCATGTTTACATTATAGCAGGTTTAGACTGTACTCCATACTATTTATAGAGAAACAATTCCCACCATGAAAGTGGTAAGGAAACACTTCCTGACAGAAGATGGTCTGGTAGCCTTCTGTGCATACCAACTTAACGCACTGCATTGTTTTTCATCCTTTAGATTGTGTCATTTTCATTTTTTTGGTACCATTGTATACCACAGCTATATTATATATGCCGAAGAAGACAATGTGCTGATCCGGCACACTAAGAAAAGGGGTAAATATATACATTTTTAAGCAGAGTGGCGAAGTGACAAATCTGAGCAGTCCCTATAGCGTCCCCTTTTAAAGGTTGGATGTCAGCAGTCTTGACAGTGCTATGGCAACCGGCTCTTTTCAATCCACAGGGTTTGTGAATGAGAACAAACGAGACGTACAAGATGAGAAAACACATTTTGTGTGCATCACATCATCGGTTTCCTTTTTACTAATTGTTCTCAAGGTAGAAAACCTCCCATGTAAACAGCAGGAGGTTTTTATTTATTTTTATTTTTTATTTAACCTTTATTTAACCAGATAAAAACATTGAGATAAAATCTCATTTTCAATGCTGACCTGGCCAAGAAGGCAGCAACGTTACACATAACAACACAAACATATAAAATACAGAGAACATAACTAAGAAAACAAAAGACGAAAAAGCAGTCACTACATTGTGCACATTAGGACAGTAAGAAAAGTACGCTACTTGTTACTGCAAGAGCAGCTGGTGGTGAGGACTTCAGACAACTTCAATTTAAAACATGCTATAGAGACAAGTGCCATCAGTTTTAGACTTGATTGAAGGTCATTCCAAGACCAAGGACCATAATAAGAAAGACTCCTTTTTCCAGCCTCAGTCCGCACAGTAGGTACCTGGAACCGTATCCAGGCACTGGATCTGAGGATGTAAGGCGTAGGCTCCACGAGGACGAAAACGGGTTGAATCCGCATATTTCTCATGCGTATAGCCCTTTAAGCTCGACGACGCCGTAACAGAAACGTAGAAACAGACCCCGCAAACGACAACGGGTCCAAAGGTGGATAGATCTGGGAACGGAGCGCTCTGGGGGGTCCAACGGGGCCGTGGGGTCGCCTATACGGTCATGCGTTTCATAGCCCCGCCTCTCCCCACCTCTGCTGCTCACCCCCGCAAAGGTACACTGCACACTGAATTCAGATTATTTATCTTTATCTCGATATGAACATAAACGCGAGTGAAGTCTAATCTGACAGGACGGAGACAATTGCAGAATTCCTCCACGGGATGCCATTGTCATTGTACATCACTCAACGCGAAATACACACACTCAGTACATAGCTAGACCCAATAATTTGCGGGCCAGGAGTTTGCGGGCACAGCTGTGTGTGTGTGTGTGTGTGTGTGTGTGTGTGTGTGTGTGTGTGTGTGTGTGTGTGTGTGTGTGTATTTCGCGGTTTGCTAAATGTTTTGTGCGTGTGTGTTTATGTTGACAAGGAGGTTTAATAACTGTGTGCTACACAAAACGTGCAGTCAGTTTCATTTTCATCGCCGTTCGTACTGTAGTAGAGTTATCAGGGTATTTTTATTTTAACTCTCGTCCCAAATTCGTCCCAAGATTATTTTTTATCCTCCCCGACCCTATTTTTTTCGGCCCCGGGACGACGGGACGTCCTTAAGCTCGAGCCCTGCCTCCGGCTGTGAAGCAGCCACACACTTCAAGTCAGATCACCACCCTTAGCTATTTTAATTACCTCTCAAACTACCTAAACTAGTTATAAATATGTTTATTTTTACTGTCGGGTTTACTTACTGGATCAGCTGCTGCATGAGGAAGCATGAAGATTTAAACTTTAACACACATTGACCGGCGAAAAACTCTGCGCGGTTCCCTCCGCCCCCACCGCGGAGAATAAACAGAAGTGCAGCCATGACAACCATTCTTCTTCGCTGCTTTTGTGGAGGAAGTTGCTGCTTTTGTGGAGGAAGTTACAGCGCCACGTACAGGTTCGGCATATGTACTGCAGCTTTTCCAGCGGTTGAATGTAAACGGAGCCGTCTCGTGGAGCTTGACACAATCCGGTGTATATTGCGTGTGGTCGGAAGGTTTTTTGCGGTTGCGTTTGCGTTACTCCGATGCGTTTTGCCGTATTTGTCCTCGTGGAGCCGGGGCCTAAGAGTCGCAAACTGGGGCAAATCTGACACATATGTAGAGTGGAAGGTTTAAACAGACCTTCTGCCAGACAAAGACAGGCCTCAGTGTGCTGATCCCTTGTATTCAGAGCTCCGTCTGTTTCGAAGTGTGTTGAGTTTATTAAGCCTCGTTTGACTTGGCTGACAGTGGTATTTCTCATTTCAGCTCTGTTATTAGTTACGGTATTGATGCTCTCAGAGTTATTATTATATTTGGAGGTACTTATGAAAGATTAAGTGTTATTTTGCATGTGTGTCCTATTTAAATTAGGATTTTAAACATATCCATTTGCTTTGTCGGTAGATTCCAAAAGGGAATTGTCTAATAATGAAAATCCCTTCGTCACACATATGATGTTGATTCCTCAGCATCCTGTTTTATTTTCACGAAGTAAGTCTTGTTTTGC